TTGCCCCTCAAACCGATTGACCCGTGAAAAATACCCTTACAAAAATAATCAACACTTTGCCCTTTTGTGGGAATCGCACATTCTATTCTGAAAACTTCGGACCTAAATTTTCTCGTCACACTCAAGAAATTTATCTTTGAGGGTTTTTCATCCCATGAAAATTAACCCCACGCAAGTTTCCTCTGAAGTTTGCGGATCTCACTCTCAAGAAGAAGTTAACCCTCAAAGGAGGGTCCCCCAAAAATTCGTATAGAACGAGAAGCGCTGTATGTGAAGAAATAATTAGTTGGCTCCATTGTCTTTGAAAATGCTGTTACTCGGAACGTTATCGTAACATTTTGCAAGGTTTTTAAATGAGTACAAATATCTTTTTTTTAGAGTAAGCCGATCGCACAAATACTTCCAAAAATCATTTAAAGAGAAGTCGAAAACATTGCTAAGTGCTAGGGCATGCACAAACTACCTGTCCAGCTAGCTCAAATTAAATTAAAATTGAAACAGAATTTTATATTCTCTCCTCATACACATCCGGCATCTGGCAATAAGAAAAATCTTACTATTGAATTAAAATTTTTCAATTTGAGAGAGACTTCCGAAAATTTCAAAGAATTTATTACACACATTTTGACTAACACCTGAAATAAATCTTGGGCACGAACAGAAAAATCTAACATGATAACTCTATCTGGGCTTCACTTTGGATTCAACTAAACACACAATTAATTGAATGACAAAGACAAAAATGTATTCTAAAACACATGAAAGAATTAAAATAAAATACCTGAATGAAATAAATGTTTGGACATATTGCCCCGCACCGGGCGGTCGACAATTAAAATATAAAATGTTAAATTACAGTTTTTTCTCAATAATGCAAACGAATAAATAAAAACCTTTTCTAAACTACGCAAACTTGACGAGATGAGCCTAAATTGAGCATCTAAATGCTAAATTAACCAATTTAAAAGCGATAAAGTTAAAACGAAAATTACGCAATTACAAACAATTCGAAAAAACAAATACTGAAATACAAATTCAAATTAAACGCACTAACTTTGTGTTTATTCGTAAATAAACCCCCAGGGTTGCTTGATAAATTGAAATATTCTCATATACAGGGTATCCCGTCATTATTTGTGTGTTTAGACGGAAATAGCGTCTAAATGACGACGTTTACACGACAATATATCTTACTACAGCGAGGATATATCAAAAACCACAAGTAAGTACATATTAAATTCCGCATGAATAAATCAGCACGAGCACGTCTCGACGATTGACAGTGATATATAGATTTTTCAATAGCGTAAAATAAGAATAAAGGCAAATTGAATCTGGTTGACATCACTTGAAAAGCAAATTCGACGAAATTTCGCGAGAAATGAGCTTCCCGAGTTATTTTCGCAAATGAATCGGATAAAGTTTTTGCAGCCCTTGTAAATTTTCCGCGGCGATTAACATTATTATGAGTGATGTAAAATCGTTGAGAAACTCACTTAATGAGGACAACTGCTTGAACGAGTGTTAGTGCCCTTAATTCCACATGTCGCCGCTTTTCTTGCAAGAACAAATGGATAGATAATTAAAATTTTCTCATTATCAACTGGCTCGTGTATTAGGGGGTCGAAACACAAATAAAAACAAGGACAAGGATGTATTTCGTATTTCGGTCATTCTGAGTGGGGTCTCGTGTTTATATTCGTCACCCCTTGTTTCTGTTGAAAGGTGTTTACGGTCCGATTAGTACGAATACGAGTTTGTTTCAATGTTTTTAGGGTCACTACGTTTTTTTCGAAATTGGCAAAAAAGGAAAGCTACTTAATTTTAATGCTCTTGTAATGATTAGTAGACGCTCTCCATTCCCTGTTAAAATTTCATCATTCTTTTTATAATAGGCTTTTACAATGGCGTAGTTTAAATTATTACTTCTTCGGTAAAATAAATTTTAGACCATTATGTCAACAGTTGAGGGGTCATCGTTTGGTAATGAATTACTTTTTACTTCAACAGGAGCTCAAATGCATTTCTAAACCCCAGAAATTGTGACCTTGGGATTTTTGTAATTTTGGCAGTTTTTACATTTTAGAAATGTGAAATTACGGAAGTTAAGACTAGAAATTTTAGGATTTTGAACCTGAGAATTTAAGTTTTTTTTATTTTGAAATTTTGAGATTACAGAAATTTTAAATAAAAGTATTAAGATTCTGGAATTTGAGACTCTGGGAATTTGAAATTTTGTAAAATTTGGCATTTTTGTAACTTTGGGAGTTTGTGAATTTGGGATATTGGTAATTTGACATATTTTGAAAATATAAAAATGAACGTTTTGCTTCCTCTTCTCTGTGAGATTTGAAATACATAATTTGTCACTTAAAAAATAGCTTAGGTTTAGGCAGAAACATAAATAACAATAGCAAATGGCACCTCTCTCTATTGTTCGTGTATTTTTAAGAACGCCCTAATAATAACTAAAACACTCCATTCTCTTATGCGATAAAATCAAACACGGAAATTTGCCTAAAATTAAAACCTTAAAATTTTCTCAAATTCTGAAAAAATGGTACACATCATCCAATTTCTGATTAATTCAAAATCTATCTATCAATTATCTTTTTTTATCATGACATAGCCTGAACTGTACACAATTAAACTTTTATTTACAATTAAATCAATCATTTTTAAATTTTTACAAAAAACAACACACACACAAGGTACCTCATTAGTGGGGTTACTGGGATATCCTAGGGTACGACTTTGCACCAGAGACAAGGTCACCTCTTAGTTACGTCACCATCAGGAAATACCCTTTCACCAAGTGTGAGTTATGGCGGGGTTTTTGTCCCGAAGAAGGTTTCCCTGACATCGCCTGTTTATATGCTTAATATATTCTGTATGTTCTCGTTTTTCCTTACGCACAAAATTATGAGTTTTTCGTGGTCTGACACCTGGCGCGGGGTTCATCGCGAGCTGCCACCTGGGAATTGGGAATGGTCTTCTTTAACTAATATCGCGAATTGCGCTTTAAGATCTTAGTGGATGTTGGGGCAGAATGCGATGTGCCTTCGTCGCTTATGATCTTCCTTGGGGTTCGTAATCCTAGGAAGACTTCTTTTATGAGCGTCCGGTCGTAAGTTGCCTGTAGGGCAAATAGTAACTATCGAGATGCTGCGATACGGTGACCAGGTGCTGCTGCTGTTTCAATTTTCCTCGTCCTTCTGGGGGTCTGTCCATTTCCAGAGGGTGTCTTTCTTTAGGAGTTTAGTTAACGTTTGGACTGATCCTTCGAGTCTAGGCACGAATCGGCGATTCCACGAGCACGATTGGATAAAGGGATTGAGTTGCTCGGCGTTTCGGGATGTAGCCAGGTGTGGGGTAATTTCTAAGCCCAAATGGCATCTTACTAAAACTGGTAGGTCTTGTCCCGCATCGACCCTTAGCTCGAGAGCAGCGACTTCAATGCTTGCACGCTCGGTGCGGCATTGCTTGTTCTTCCGCTAAGAGTGTGGGAAGAGCGCGGGGGGAGTTAACGGAGTTCATACGCTCGGCGTAGAGGTCCGCAAACGCGGGATCCAGGTCGGGAGTGGTCGAGCATAGTGGTGACCGAAGAGCGGGCGCGTCCAGACTGTCAGTCGGCGCGTGGCCTTGCTCCAGGTGTTGCAGGAGATCAAGTTCATGCAAAGAAGTGTACGGTTACTGGCCTCGGACTGCTTCTTTTGAGTTGCTGTTATCTTCATATCTCGAAAAAATAAATCCAAGTTAGACTGTCAGTCGGCGCGTGGCCGTGCTCCAGGTGTTGCAGGAAGTTGTATTCCTTTCGAGGGAGGTCAAGTCCATGCAAAGAAGTGTTTGGTTACTGGCGTCGGACTGCTTCTTTTGAGTTGCTGTTATCTTCATATCTCGAAAAAATAATTCCAAGTTAGAGGTGCCGTTGCACTTAATCTTTTTAACTAGGACACGACCCCGTTTATTAGGTCTACTGGAGATCATCATCAGGACCAAGTATTAACCAGGTAGCGTCTGAATTCAACAAAAAGAAATCCGCCTAATGTCGTGATCATGCAAGTATTTGAAGAGTAGGTGACATTATCTTTTTCTATTTTCGTCTGTGGGGTTTGATGAACATTGAATTTGTTGTGGGTAGATTTAATTTAGATAGTGTGAGAAAAATTAGGATTTAATTTTATATTCAAGGTCTGTGTAGCTGTTCTTTTTAAATGTTGTGTGTTTACGAACTCGGTTAATTTAAAGTTTTGGGAAATTTAGGCAAGCCGAGTGTGTTTTTGTTGTAGTTTTTGTGGAGTCATTTTCAGTGACGAGTAATGTTTGAGCTTTGCAAATACGGAAAGCTTGCAATAAAAACGAATTTTGGTCCATTGTGTTACATTGAATTCTGAATCAAGACATTCCTGCATTTTCGAGCGCGTTACGACAGCTTGTAAAATGTGACAACTGATCCGAGTAAGTAATTTGACGTGCCTACTATAGATTCCGGAAAGCTTTCCTGCAGCCTACGTACGAAACGCCATTGTCCGAATCGTAACCCCCTTCCCCCACGTACCCTTCATGCGAGCAATTGCATTTGTTATCTACTGTACGTAACATATGCAACGCTGTTGGATGTACATAAAATATTCAACACTGGACACTCGGAACCAACGTCATTCGAATATTGATTGTCCTAACGTGGCTCACTATGAAGCAGTCCATAAATCCGTTACAGGGCTCACGGTGCCGATTGCACATTGTTAGAAATTGAAATGTCTCGAACAAAATTTATTTGTTGTCATAATGTAACACCACTTTCGTATTGAATCCTATGGATCGATTGCTGTGCGTAGGCGAATAGAGAAACTTGTCTTCAAAGAAAAAGAGGCCGTTACCCGTATGTAAATTTTCCACTAAAGGGGTGTTTGCATACGTTAAATTATAAATACTGGTACTGTTCGGCTTGGGGGACAAACAATAAAGCCCTAACTCACAACTGCTAATATTCTTTCCAGATATCCCTGGGGAATGCCTCCTCCCGAGATCTATCCGTTTGACGAGGAGATGGAGTGCTCGTACTTTCGGCGTAAGCCTCGCGTCGATCCCAGAAGGTACACGTGGATGCCGGCCGATGACGAGTCCGTACGTTTGGAGAGGCCACGTTCCGTTTTGGATCATTGCAGTGTGGCGCCGTCGCCGATACCACCTCCGCCTCCGCCAGTGACCAGGTAACTCGCGAGCAACATTATTAATTTTCATACATGTTAAGAGTCCAATTAAATTTTTAGTACGTGTAACTGACGCACACATCTCTAATTTGCATTCCCTTTGATGTTATGATGAGGTTTATTTTCATAAAAAATTCCTTTTATTATTTCGTTTTCATTTTCGTGTTTCATAACTTATTCATACAGTGCACATATTTGACGACCGCTGAGATTTTTGGCATATACCTACTTTTTTTGTGCACCGTGGAAAAATACAAAGCGTGAGATTTCAACCCCTATGCTAAATAAATGCGGAATCAGGTGGTGCGATAGTCTTTCTTATGATATGAAGTCCTTGCAAGGGAAACGGTCTACGGTGTTACGTGGAAAATTTGAATCATTTTGAACTAAAAAGGCGTAGTTATCTCCTTGCGAAAGTCTCGAAATATATGCATAGCAGAGTCAGAGTCGTAGGTTCGGGCCCCACGTTGGGCGCCGAATGTTGTAAATCTATTGATAGCTTCACCAACATACTGGCACTTCTCATCCCGTCAGCTACACCTAAAAATGTACCAACAACACATAATCTGTAGGTTACACCATCAACATTTGGGAGTACTACTGCTTCGGTGTAATGTTCATTCGGTCAGGGATAGGCCAGTTCATACAAAACAAAGATGTGGAGGAGACGGTGCAAAGGGTCTTGGATGGAACGGGAAAGGTGGAAATTAAACCCTTGAAGGCGACGGAAGGACATAGTAGAGTAGTAACGTTTTATGCAGATAAAATGGCAGCGGTAAAATTAGACACACTTCTGCGTATTTGGGTGGGAGTAGCCCCCTGCAGATTGAACAGGAGGGTAGTAATACCTACTACTGGGAGATTCAGGACGAGAGCTACAGATGCGCAAAAGGTACACCTGGGAGAAAGCAATGCTTAAACTGCGGAGAAGTAGAACAACTCCGGGATAAATGTCAAAATAACAAAAAAATGCTATAGAAGGTCACTCCATGTGGACCATGTCGTGCCAGAAATTCAAGAATGCCATAAGGCAGGTAGAACAAAGTAGGAGGGGATTATATTACCTGGACGATAGACGGCAGGACACAACGTCTGGACCTGAAGACATAGTATAGAAACCAAGAGATTAAACAGGCGCCAAAAAATGCCAAAACGAAACGCGTCGGGCCCAGTACAGAGAAATACCCTGAAATATAGAAGAGGGAAAATATATTCCTAATACCAAAGAAGGGACCGAGGACAGTAAGACCTATAGCGCTACTTAGTCGTTTAGGGAAGGTATTTGAAAGGATTATTTCTGGCAGGTTAGAAGAAGAGGTTAAGCTGTCCCCGGAGCAATATGGTGTTCGCAAAGGTAGTGGAACAAGGGAAGCGCTTCGACGCATCCACTTGCTAGCGGAAGCGATGACTAGCAGGACCAGGGTAGTAGCTGTGGTGGTTCCTCTAGATGTACGCAATGCTTTCAATTCGGTCCTGCTCAGGTTATCGTCCAGGCAATGGAACACCAGAAGGTACCACTACACCTGATTAGGTTAGTTCATAGCTACCTCACGAACAGAATATCAGGACCAAAATTTATGCTGCGGATCAAGGGAGGGGTACCACAAGGTTCGATGCTGAGGCCACTGCCTGCTTGCGTGTCGGAGAAATTGAGATCCAGCTAGGAAAGGCGTAGGACATACTAGGAGCCAGACTAGATAGAAAAAAGCAGTAGAAAAGTCATAGAAAGCAACGACGAGCATTTTGTAATTGTAGTGGTCCCCAGGAGAGCAAAAGAAGGGTCCAAAGGTTGTAGTAACCAGAGAAAGAGAGGCTCAACTAGCGAGCGGAACCGATTTTAAGATAATAATAGAAAGGACCTGTAATAAGGGAGTAACATTCACATTTCACACCCGGGTGCACACCAAATGTGACGCCTGGGTGTCGTTCTCTTGAAGGAATATCGAAATGACCACTTGAGACGTCCGAGGACGGGGAACGCTTGGAAGAAACTGTATATTGTTGGACCCAACTATCTCATATTCCCATTCTCTTAAAAAATGTAAACGGCACCCTTTCCGGGTTTCGAGATACTTCTTCCTATTCTGGGACATAATACAACAAAAAATAGACACATATTTGAAACCCAAAGACCAGTCTTCCAAAATCACCTGAAGCAAGGGGTACGAAACCTAGATTGATAAAATAAAAAATAGCTCTGTATTAGTATATCTATCGACGTTTTACGGGGTAAAGGTGTATGGACCACCCCAGTCGTATCTAAAACAAATATCAGGGAGATAGTGCGGCAAGCACTACGTTTCCTAGCTCCGCTTTGGCTACGAAAGATTCGCCCCCTGGAAGTAAATGACGCACCCAAAATATTCGTTTCCGTCAAATTCACCACCGGAAGATTCACGAGCGGAATATTCACCGCGCGGAAAATCAAGCTCCAAGAAAGCTCTAGAATATCCTGTAGGTTTAATATTATGGAGGTGAATCTTTTGACGGCGAATTTAGCTGTGGGAGTGTTTCTTTGGCTGTGGATATTGGTACGGGTTTAGTTACATTTACAAGGGTTTGGAGAGCTCACTCCCATAAAGTAAAATTGAACCCCTACGGCACTGGAAAAGATTTTAATATGACAATTATTACCACCCGCACTAGTAAGGTGCATTGGGATAAAAAAGCAACCCCATCTCCCCACTTTTTTGACGGAAATACACATTTTGAAGCACCAGGCAATTAAAAAAAATCTCAATTATGTCGATCAGTCTGTCGATCTGTCGGCTGAATCGATGGGAACCAAATTTTGTACACATATTTTTAGGCATAAAAAGACAGAATCGCACATGCGCAGTTGTGCAGGTGATAAACTCGGCTAGCCACAGCAAATTTTTTAATTTACCCACGGCTAACTCAATAAACTCAATAAAAAAAAGCTGTACACCCTTACATTGCGAAGGTTTGGTCTCTTATTTCCTTCTAAAAGTTGATATTCAAAATCTAATGCTCTGGCTTGATTGAACTGTACTGGCATTCAATTTTGTCTAATTTATTGATAGGTTTTGATGCGAGTAAATCAATTGTCTTTAGAATCTTTCTCGTATGCCGTTAATCACAAAGCTTTATTTCTATACAGGGTGGTGACTTGCGTAACGTATCATAGGGATTTCAATGTAAAATTCATAACGCGATTATTGGCTCCCCAAATTATTTTAGAGCAAAAATGTATTAAGGTTTTCTGTAGAAAATTTTTTTTGCGTCAATCAACCGTATTAGTTTTCAATTTTTTACATAATAAAGACGGAAAATTGGAAAAATAAAACCCGCATCTTTTTCAATAATCTGTGATGCCATGGAATTTTATAATACAAAAACTACGCCAATATCCGTCATGCCATGGAATGTTTGCTATAAAACCAATCAAATTCTATCAAAAATTATTATATTTAGAACAGCGAATTCAACATAAAGAAAGACCAAATTACTAAAAACGGTTTCCTAATATAACAATTTACAATAAATGTTCGAATAAGTTACCATTAACTGCAATACAGTAACCAAGTCGATCATAAAATTCATTTCGAGCTGCTGCTAATAAATTGATAACTGGATATCTTTTTGTTTTAGAAAATTCCATGGCATCGCAGATTATTGAAAAAAATGCGGGTTTTATTTTTCCAATTTTCCGTCTTTACATGAAAAAAATTGAAAACTAATACGGTTAAATGGCGTAAAAAAAAATTTTCTACAAAAAACTAATACATTTTTGCTCTAAAATAATTTGGGGAGCCAATTATCGCATGTTATGAATTTTACATTGAAATCCCTATGATGCGTTACGCAAGTCACCACCCTGTATAGTTCCCGAGGTGTAAAACTGTCACTTCGCAATAAATTGATTTTTACTTTCGCCTTAGTATGTGAATTATAACTTTGCGCCAAATTTAAATGGCCTTGCTACTACGAGTATTAGACCGCTAAAGAAGTCCATCTGCAGTCGTATAAAATTACGGGTAACTAGCAATTTGGCGAATTTTAGGAGTTCTCGCTATTTAATATGTTTTCTAGATGGCACCACGAATCTTCCCACATACGCTGAATAAAATCTCTCCTACACAAATTGGCACACTGAAAATTCCTCTTCGAGTTTCTGTCAAGTGTTCGATTTTTCTCACAACAAAAAGACACTTTTAGGTCCTCAGAAATCATGGAAACGGCGCTCGCTTACCGCAATACGTTTCTTAATATGATTCGGTATCGACAGACATATCTTTGTTCAAGTTCACTATGAAGCGGTACGGTGTGATTTATCCTCACCAAAATATTAATTCGAATAATTACTTTTTTAATTCTAAAGCGACATCCTGTTACAATATTCCGGGGGAAAATTTGCCCCGCGAGCTCTCCGGGGATAATTTTCCCACAATCAAAATTATTACGTCAAAACAACAATATAGTGTGACCAATGACGAATACCTCCCCTTATATGCGAAGATAGCAACAAACCCTATCTACCATTTACGGTTAAACGACCCTATGTAGAACTTTACTTAATCCTGTTTTCTTTTTTCCCATATTTTTTCGGTTTGGGAGGCAACCCAAATGGAAGATGATACTCACAACCCACAACAGTCAGAGCAGCTCTGTACGGCCGCATACTCGTCAGCCGCATTTGTTTCGTTTGAAAATTTTAAGGAGTACCTGATTCTGGTAAAAAGTGGCGTGGTTGTTACTCTGGCGCTTGGTATTCTCCTGTTCCTGCCGAGATTTTTTTTTTGAAGCCAACTTTTATAATGTGTATTTCTTGTATTTCAGGCCCAAGCATGTCAGTTTTGCAAGATCACATACTCTCACATCGTTTGATGACGCAACAGCAACACTAGGTTCATCACACAGCTACACCAACAAAATGTCACGAAGTCAAGAAAGATTGCTGCCACTTTTAGGTTTTAAAAGGTCAGGCGAATTTCCACCAATCACTCAGCAGCCATCACCAAACGAAGCGTTCATCATTTCAGGTATGTACCTACTGCCCGAAGACTTTTTTTTGTCATTTTATTCACCTTTCTACAATTAGAGATGAACTATGTTCATTCTCTGTTCCAAACCGAGTGTTTCTTTCTGCACCGAAGCAGAGAATTGGTAACAAACCGATCATTGAACTTTTTCCATCCTACATCTCAGTTCGCAGCGTTGATTACCACTTATTACAACATTTCTAGCTCAAATGCCGCGTTTCCACGAGATCAGTAAGTAGGCCAATCCAGTTTACGATCCAGTTCAGTGGAAAAATACCGCACCAGTAATCCGCTGGCTTCAAGAGTAGTTAGTGGGCGCCCCCATACTCAAAAAAACCGAAATGGTCTCCTTTTCCAACTGTTCCTGAAGCACATCACAAGATTCAGTGATAAAACCACTTTATTTATGCCCTCATGGACATTTCTGACTAGTTCGAACGAAACTGAACAACTATTAACCTACTTAGTGGCCGCGTGGTGTAAACGCGGCATTACGTGGTCCTATTCATGTCAAATGCAATAAAGGATTTGTTTAGTTCTAGACGCACACCAATTGAATTGTTGGCTCGAAGCACATTTCTTCGCCTATTTATCCTTAAATTCTACGTCATTGTGTCTTAATTTACACGATCCAATATTTACACAAAACGCCGGTGACTAAATTAATTTTCTTAGAATCACATAAAGACAGTTGTTACACGGTACGTACCGCAAAACGTGACCGACATAAGCAAGTACCGAGAAGAGTTTTCTGTATTTTAAACACGTGCGCCCTAAATGATCGCCTGGAATTGTTCACCAAGACTCGTTGTGTCTACTTTTGATGTGTTCGGTGACTTAAAAGGCAGAAGTATTCTGTTTACGTATTAAAAAGCAAATTTTGTGTATAGTATGCATGACAAGTTCGTGCCGAAGTAAATGTAGGTCATATGCTTTCCGCGTATGATCATACACGAGCCCTTCATTAAGTTGTACATGTTCAGGAAGAAAAAGGTGCCTGAAAATATTTTCATTAAGATCTCTATGCATCTTGTTTATCGCGTTCATAAGTGACAACCAGCCTTGGGGATTAGAGCGGATAGCTCAATAATTTCGAGGGAGTTTAATAAATTTAGGTTACTGCCAGCTTTACTGTCACAAAGCAGAGTTCCCACGCATACGCTTTCATTGGCCCCCATTCGTGTAAAACTAACTTTTTTCACTTTTAAACGCCTTCAATTTGTCTTTAACGTATACTAATGGACAACTTTCGAAGTTTGAAACTCTGTCTATAAAACTTTGCGCAAAAATTATCTCCGACTTTATTCATTTGCGCGAATGAGAGGAAAGTTATTGCACCCCCTAGGATGGAAGTTAAACAAAATCATCACAAACGTCTAAGTTTATAATTGTATACAAACATTGAAGTGAATGTACAGTTGGAATTCATCAGTCGTTCGCATTAAGCATGGTAGGCACTCGAAACAGTTCCCACCCTTTTGTTAGCTTTGCTTAGTTTATAATGAAAAATGATCGACGTTAGTAACTCCTACGGGAAAGCGATGACTAAAAGTTTTATGTAAATGCCCCTTACAGCTACAGCTAAATAAATATCCAAAATTCAGATAAAGAAACAAAAGAGGGGCTACATCTCATAATAACTGCTGATGTAATCCTGTAAGTAATCTCCGGCGCTTTTCGTTCCTGTTAAGGTAATAATCAGGATTATATTTCAAAGAGTCACTCGGGTTGCGTAGCAATCACATGACCGTTAATTTGATCCTCCCTTTTACACCGACGCGTAATTACAACTAAAGCATCGACTTACTTCTTTCTCCCATCACAACTTCGGCTAATTAAAATTGCGCCGTTCGCTTTCGAAAACTACTTAAAACAACATCAATAACGTGCGTGCGTATGTAAAAAATTGATTTATGATTATCCGACCGCAAATGTCAGGCAGATGGGAAGTGTAATCGGATTACCAGCTTCGGGATTTAATCTCGTAGTTCGAGTATTAATGGTCGGGCATAAATCGCGAACCTAATCGGCAGTTTATTAGGAACATTAAATTGTTAGTCGGAAATCATAATCGAAATTACGAAAGTCTGTTCACCCCACGCAGTTGAATCGATTTTAATTAGTGGCTCTTTTTGTAACTTTCGCCTAGCGCACATTCAATTTGCTGGATATCATTTTCCCTATTTCAGTTATATCTGTAAACAAGCCGCACAGTTCAGAGCTTTTAGAACGCTCAGGTTTTCATATTTGACCATATCCTAAAAAACGAGCCTGACTGGCACTACCTAAATGGACAAGTACCCTATGAATTTCTTCTGTTGATTACCATATCTCTCCATTGGCACTAATTAGGCACATATTTTTCCTTTGTGAGCAGAACCACCACAATACAGTCACCTCTTTCCTCGTTGTGTCCATCTTCGTCTTCATGTCCCCCCTCTGTTCTTTATTTGTTATTCAATACTCTTTGCTTTTCTCTTCGTCTAATATTTCATTCGCTTTTTCTCCGTCTCTGATAGTTTATGCCACCTGTATTTTCTTCTTTCCTCTATCTTTCGAGCTACTCATTTTCACATAATTGATCTCGCTATTATTTGTATTTATAATTTTCAGTCTCTGCCTGAGATTTTTGGGCATCCACTCCGCTATCAGCTTGTTCACTCGTTAATTCCTGATTTTCTCCTATTCTTTCAATAAGTTTCGAGTTCTTTTGTTGGTTCTGTATCAGCCACCACTGTAATGTTGGGCCACTCTCTATGTACTTATCTTTATTTATTTTGGACGTTAACTGTTGGTCTCACTACTGATGATCATATTCTTCGAATTTGAAGTCGTTAACTTTATTTGGAATTATTTGTTTAATTAGTCATGTGTAATTTTGTTTAAAAAATCGCGCTTTAATTTGTTTATTATATTATTCAGACAATGTTTTGTACATTCACTCGTTATCTCCGGTCATTGCGATAAGAGCGTTATCGCTGCGTAAGCTAAGGAAAGAGAACGGTTTCAAATACGTGAACCGGACATTAATTGTGATTTTCTTGATGGTGAAGGCCGTTTTGCCAGTTGCGCAGTTTTTTAGAAGAAAGTTAGTTGAGTGCTCTAAGAGATTTTTATTACGCCATTTAAAGCGAATGTCTAATTAAAGAGTGAAGTATACAAAGAAGCTAGTCGGAGTGTGGCCGTTCGAGCGTTTTTGTTCCTTAAGGTTATCCAAGTCACCAGTTAAATGAAGTTTTTTCTACCATCAAAGAGCCATTTTTTCATTAGTAATTACAATGGACGCAGTGTCGTCTTTCCTTCTCTTGTATTGATACTTTTCTCTTCCTATTCTTCTCCCCCTTTGCCTTTTTCTTCCTCTATGACTTCAATACTCTTCTATTTTCCTTGTAGCACCTTGATAAAGTTCTTCTTCCAATAATCTATTTCTATTTTTCCCCATATTTTTATACTTTCCCCTTTGCCTGTTTATCAATTTCCAGTAATCGCTTTCTGAATTCCCACGATTTATACGGTTTCGGGCTCTTTTCTGCTTTGATACCTTCGTACCTTGTTTTTTGTTTTGTCAACTCCCAAATCTCCCGCTGTCTTTGTTTTCTGGCATTTTATGTATTTGCGAACTTTTCCATGAGACCTTCTTTTTCCTCTTTCCTTGTAATCACTTCCTTCCTCCCTCATGCCCTTTGCTAGCATACTCCCAAAAGTTGCAAGATTTCCGTGTTCCTTTTGATTTTTTCTCGGCAATATACTCGTTCTTGGCGAATGCGACGTAAACCTTTCTTTTGAAAAGCCGTGTACAAAAACTCCTCGAAATTAAGGTTAAGGGGTGTACCCAGTCAATTTTTTGAAATTCGGTCCAAAAGACAGTTGGAGCTCCTTTCTTCGAGTTTTCAAAAACCTATTTTTGATTCGTTGTTTTCAATGTTGAAATCGCCCAGATACCAAATTTGGCCAATATAAGAATTTTTAATAGATTCCTACCCCAAGGTGTGATTCATACCCCCCAGAACTACCGGTACTACCTTCTTCCCCAAAAACGTTTCATGATAATTTTTGAGAAAAGACCACAAAATTTAGAACCAAGATACAATCTTCGTATAAAGGGGGGTACCATCCGGCACCAAGCCCCCCCCCCCCAGTACTACGTTCTTTCTCAAAAACAATTATGAAAGATTTCAGGGGTAAACTTGACAGAATAACGTAGTTTTAGAGGGTACGGAATCCCCCCTTCCAACACCCTTGCCAAAGGAGGACTAGATAGTTCTTTCTCTATTATTCTAACACTCTCGTAACAGTGTTCGGAAAAAGGCAATTGAATCTTCGTATACTGTGGGGTATTCCATACCCCCCAGACCCCTCGGTACTACGTTTTTTTCCCAAAAACGTATGATGAGAATTTTCGAGAGAGGACTACGGAACCAAGATACATCTATCCTTTCCCAAACATGAGAGATATGGGGATATCGTCCAGTTACCCACTGGTTTCTTCGCCGTGTAACGTTTTTTTTCCGCTTTCCGTTTTCATTGCACATTTTCGGCATTTAAATATCGTTTCAAATACTCTTCGTTCACTTCGTAGTTCATTAGTCTGCCACTAGAGGTCACGCAAAGTATCTTTCTGTATTTCAACATTTTTTTATCGAATTTCCTTTCTTTGGTCTTTTGCTAACCGATCCTGTAGAAGAACGAGAGTGGTTGTACTTCTTATATTTTTTATTTTTACGATTTTCGTCATACCTTTAAAAGGATTTGTTGGTCGTTGTAAAAATTTCCTACTTCGACGAAATTTAGTACCGGGGGTTTTCAACATTGAAAATAACGATTCTCAGTGGTAGAGTGTTGGGCGACATAGCCGGGCTCGGGTGTTCGAACCTGGGCTGGGGTAGGAGTTTTTCATTTGTGGCATTCCTGCCGACTACTTCGAATTAGTTTTTTGTACAGTTTTCCTAATTTGTAAGGTAAATACATCGGAGTAGTATAGAACAGCTTAAGGCCTTCGGTAAATAATGGTAAATAAATAAATAAACCAACGAAGAAACAAATAAATAAATAAATAAATGAATGAATGAATGAATGAATAAATAAATAAATAAAAATGGAACGGCGCCTAACTTTCCAGGAATAAACCATCAGCAAAATCCTATTTTTATTGGGCAAAGTGGCATGATAGGCTCTTTAGCCTGCTTGACTTTCACCTATACTCCAACATATTGGTAAGCAATTTTCGCATTACCCAAAGCTTCTTATCTCGATAAAAGGTCATCAAAACCTGAAATACTGCAAAACTAACTACACTTTCGAAAGGATTAGAATCTTCGACAATGTGTTTCCGCAACTTCTTTAATATCGATTATAACCCATAACTTTAGAGATGAGTTGGTAATAGGCCAAGAACCAAAAATAGTTGCTCATGGTAATGTATATAAAAACAAAAGTCGTTGCCCATCTGAAAAGATAGCAAATAAAATTTTCTGTTCAAAAATATAGCGCACTAGAGATAATACTAAAAAAAAGATTCTAGCGATTTAAAAAAAAATCAAAAAATATTTTAAAAATAATTACAAAAATACATAAAAATTCAAAAAGATTTGGGACCTTTTTTAAAATCTTTTTTGAATCTCTTTAACTAATATTTAATCATGTATTTTTAAAAACAGAGTTTAATATAATATGTTTAGAATAAAATATACAGGGTGTTCCGTTTAAAAAGAAAGGTTTGGGTTGATAACTTTTTTACCTGACCACGTATACTTATCTTGAAAAACGGCAGATTACTTAACAGTCATTATAAAGAAACTTTTGCAATAAACATCTTTCTTTATCTCTCTTAACCAAAAAAAAATAGGGTTATTGTGAAACTGATAATTTTTTTATTTTTCCCGGTATGTCTTAAGTAAGCTTTTTTCAAATTTTGAATTTACCATCTTAAGTATGACTCAAAAAGAGCATATGACGCCTATACTACTTTTTTTATTGCACTAAAAATCACAGATATACCCTATAAAATAATCGAAAATGGAACACCCTGTACTTTTTTATTATTTCTACAACTGGGATCCTTTTTGTGTACGACGGCCGTGGTGCAGCCCGAAAAAACATAGGACCTTATAATCAAGGCAGTTTTATGTCTATCACTGAATGAGTTTTTATACGCCAAGTGACTCGCCACAGGACAGATCTAGTGATGAAATACCTAGAAATCCAGATGCTTGAGAAAACCGGCGGTATAAAGAATTTTCAAAACAAAGAAACGCAATGATAAATATTGATCTGATAGTTTTTTTCTATCATAGATAAGGGTCAGAGCTAAAGTTAGGACGTAAAGGGTGGTAAATTGGCCCAATTGAGTTGTTATCGCAAGTATAGCGTAAACACGAGAGTCAGAGTCAGTTAAATTTTACATAAACGACATGGTCTACTTTCTGCGGTAATTACAAATTCCATTTACTAAAGCGCATCACGAAACTTCGCGTTTCGCTGAAACCTTTTTACACAATTTCATCTCTCATCACTACGTACTTTTCTCACTATTTTTCTTTCTCTTAACAGAAAAGTTTAAAAGGGGACCTGCGTCGATGAAAACCCAAGCGACACAGACTGAAGTTTGTTTAGGACGGAAACCCTTGCCTCCGGGCCAACTTAATTTGAGCCCAAGGACGATACACAGGGTAAGAGGTCGTTAACTTACCTAATTTATTCATGCTCTCACCCTTGGATAGGTTAAAATGGTATCGCAAGGCGCACAAACTAACGGAATGCTGGTAAACGGAAGAAAATTGATGAAGTCGTATTCAGAAGCAGGAGGTAGATTTTCCGCAATCACTTTTGGCCCCGAAATAATCCCGAATGACATTAACCACGAACCCTTGCAACGAACACAGTCAGACGAACCTCCCCGATCACCTTTCGTATTAAAATCACCCCCGCCCGAATTAAAGTTGCCCGATACTGATTCATCTTCTTCATCTCATTCAGATCATGAAACCGAGGAGTATGAACAATTTGAATCTAAAATTCCCAAAGAGATTATTATAGATTTCGAACCTCAATTGCCTTTTTCACCCGCTGAAGTTAAGAAAAAGCGTCTGATTAAAACTGTATCGGACGGCGAAATTCTTTTAGATCATCGAAGATTTAGTAAGCTAGACGAAGAGGGGTCGTTCGAAAAACGCATCACGTCCGCCAGTCACGAGCACATCATGGTCGAACAGGAAACTCGAAGTTTCACGCCGTACTTCCAAGATTCGCCGATTAAGAATGAGGGGATATTTAAGAGCTTTGACGAAAACGCGTTTTCCTCAATGTCTGGGTCGTTCGATGACAACGGTTTCCGGCCGCAGGACTCACTCGATGAGGAGTTTCACGAGAATTTGATTTACCGCGGGAGGTATCTGAGAAGGAGTGGATCGTCTACCAGCGATGATATTTTAGAGCAGGAGATGAGGATGCGAAAAAGCGACAGTGTATCTTTGGAAGAAGGCGTGGTTCCGTCATTGTCCTTGATGCTACATAGGTGTTCGCCGTTTGCCTCTTCTGATTCTTTGGCGAACGACGTTAGGTATGAGGTTTGGGTAATTTAACGAAAATGCCCGCGAAACTTGTTTTAGAGATCATTCGGATGGAATATGGAATGAATCTCAAGCAACGGTATTGCAGGTTGATTCTGGTACGGATAATGGGACGGCACTCAGCAGCTCGGAAATGGTTTCTCTAGCAACCCCATCTCATGTATCAACGTCATTACTTACACCTTCATCTAGGAGAAAGCACCTGTTGCTCATGCAACACCAACAACGGTCCTCAATGGACACAGAAGCTTTAGAAGAGGAATCTCCCGAACAAGTAAGTGTTTTGTGTCGTGAGTACATTAGGCAACTTGGATTTTCAGATTCAAGGCTCACGATCAGGCTCTGAACTCCCTAGCATATCATTAAGTAAACCCGAATCGAGCAGTCAACAGTATTTGACACCGCGCACCGGTCCATCACCAAGACGTCGGCGAACACCCGAACCTCCGGCCGAGTCCCCACAACCGGCTGTAGTTCCCGATTTACTACTCGCTCGTACTGATTCCGGAAAAACGAATACAGACGTTTCAGAAAGCACCACAACCACTGACGACTATATCACTGCCAATTCCGG